CACAAAAGCATCCCCCACACTTACCTTTAAACTCCTCCTTCCTTTCATATAGTCAATAGTCTGTTTTCATAGAACAAATACTTTGAGGGTAGTTGTATTTTTAATGTTGATTCCATGTGCAAGAAAAAATATGTAATATTTGTTTTCCAAGTTTGGTTATTTAAAATAGCTCACTTAACATGTTGATCTTCAGTTCTATCAATTTTCCTGCAAAGTATATAATATAGCTTAATAAAACTCCATTTTGTTTGCATGCTCTACTTTCTTTATGTATTTATCTGTTGATGAGCATCTAAGCTGGTTCCATATGTTAGCTATTACTAATAGTGCCACAGTAAACATTGGTATGCAAATATCCCTATTAATATACTCACTTGGATTTTTTTTTTTTTTTGAGTAATACACTGAGGGGTAACAAAGCTGTATCATGTGTTAGTTTTTAAGGAACCTTAATGCTACCTCATTTTACAGTTGCAACCTCATCCTTACCAACATTTTTGTTCTTTGTTTCCTGATGATGGCCATTCTGGCTGGGTTGAGATAAAATCTCAGTGCAGTTTAATTTTCTGTTCATTTTACTTGCCCATTTATTGATGAATTGCTTTTTGGGGTATTCAGTCTTTTTATTTCTTTGCATGTTCGATAGATTGATTCCATGTTATCTGTATAGCTGACAAAAATTTCTTCCATTCTATAGACTATATATCTTCTGTCTGTTGGATGTTTCCTTTTCTTTGCAAAAGATTTTTAATTTTATTAAGCCCCAGTAATGAAAGGGTTCCATTGTAATAGGAACAGAGACTGTCTCTGATAGGAACTGATTGGCCTTCTCTTTAATTACCTCCCCCTGAGGGGGAAGTAGCATTACCAGGCCACAGAAGAAGACAATGCAGCCACTCCTGATGAGACCTAATTGACTAGGATCAGAAGGAAGGAAAAGAAGACCTCCCCTATCAGTGGACTTGGGGAGGGGCATGCATGCAGAGGGTGGAGGAAGGGAGGGATTGGGACAGGAGGAGGGAGGAAACCACAGGGGGGATACAAAGTGAATAAAGTGTAATTAATAAAGAAAAAAAAAGAGTGCTTGTTGCTCTTCCAGAGGAGCCTAGTTTAATTTCCATCACACATATTGGGCAGCTCACAACCTCTTGTAACTCTAGCTCCAGAGGATCCAATGCCTTCTACAGACCTACACAGGCACCTGCACACAGGTGGAATACTATCATACTAGTACACATACTGTCACAGAAATAAAAATAAAATAATAATTTTATGCAATCCCATTTGTGAATTCTATTATTTCTGAATTTTGAATCTTTCCAGAAAGTCTTAGCCTATACTTTTATCTCAAAGTGGTTTGTTTGTTTGTTTTGGTTTGGGTTTTTTTTTTTGTTTTGTTTTGTTTTGTTTTGTTTTTTCTAATTTCTTCCAGCAGTTTTGAAGGTTCAAAGCTTTCATTAAGGTCTTTGATCTATTTTGAATTGATTTTTTTTTAAACAAAGTAAGAGAGAACAATCTAATTTTGCTCTAATAAACATGGATATCTAGTTTTTCTGGCACAATTTGTGGTGGTTTGAATAGTGATGGCCCCCATATACTTATGTGTTTGAATGCTTGGCCATAGGGAGTGGCATTGTTAAAAGGTGTGGCCTTGCTGGAGGAAATGTGTCATGGTGGAGTCAGGCTTTGAGGTCATATATGCTCAATCTATACCCAGTGTGGCACACAGCCTCCTGCTACCTATGAATCAATATATAGAACTTTCAGCTCTTTCTCCAGTACCATGTCTGCCTGCACACCTCCATGCTTCTTGCCATTATGATAGTGATAAACCTCTGAAACTCTAAGCCAGCCCTAATTAAGTTTATCTTTAGGTCCTCTATTCTATTCCATCAGATATATGTAAACATATCTTTTTACCAGTACAGTATTGGTTTTTCAAGCCATTGCTGCATAGTATAATTTGAAATCAGGTGTTGTGAACCTCCAGCACTGTTCTTTTTTATCTAGCATGCTTTACCTATTTGGGGTTTGGTGTATTGGTGGTGGTGGTGGTTGGTGGTTTATGCTTTGTTTGAGGTTTGGGGTTTGTTTTGTTTTAGGGGGGTTGGTTTGGTTTTGGTTGTGTGTATGTTTGTGTTGGTGGGTGTGTTTGCTTTCATAGGAATTTTAGAATTGTTTTTTTTTTCTATTTTCATGCAGAATAACATTGTGATAAAGATGGAGATTGCTTTAAATCTGTAATACAGTCATTTTCTATTCTGAGAGCTGAAGGGTCTTTCCATCTTCTCATGTCTTCTTCAATTTCTATAATCATTGTTTCAAATTTTCACTTGGGGAAGCCTTCCAATTCTTGGATAGTTTTATTTCTAGGAATTTTATGCTACAGTAAAAATATTTTTTTTATTTCTTTGTCAACATATTGATTATTGGTATAGAAAAGGCTTTTTAATGTTGATTTTTTTATCTTATTACTTTGCTGAAGATGTTTATCAGATCTTACAGTTTTTTGGCAGAATCTAGAACATCTTTAAGTATAGAATCTTATCATCTGAAAATTTGGAATTTTTTTTTTACTCCCTACTTTCCTTTCTGTACCCCTGATATTTCCTTTTCTTGCTTTATTACTCTAGCTTAGACTCGAGCACTGTATTGAATAAAATGATGAAAGTAAATACCCTTGTCTCATTCCTGAATTTAGAGGAAGGTGTCGAGGTATGTTCCTTCTATTCCTAATATCTTCAGGGTTTTTATTATGAGTAAATGTTGAACTTTGTCAGAAGACTATTTCATAACTATTCAAATTATCATGTGATTTCCAAATCTTTGTATGTTAATGCTACACTACTTGTATTGATTTAGGAATGTTGAACTATAATTTTATCCATGGATGAAAATCAACTTGGTCTTGTTTCTCTTTTAATGTGTTGTTGAGTCAGTTATAAGTATTGTTCATATTGAGTACTTTTTGCATCTATATACATTAGAGAAGTTGACTCATAGTTTTCTCCTTTTTAATTCTACCCTGACTGATATAGGTATCAAAATACCTTACAGAATGAGCTTCGACTATTTCTTCCTTTTTCTTTAACTCAGTAGTTTGAATGCTACTGGTGCTAATTCTTCTTTAAAGGTCTAATAGGATTCAGCCCTTCCATACATCTTGTCCTGAGCTTTTCTTTGTGGAAAAAGCTTCAGTTCCCATCCTTCTTACAGGTCTGTTTCAAATTGTTTGTGTGATTTTGATTTACTTTTCACAAGTCATGTGTGTCTAGGTGTTTATTTCTTCTTGATTTGCCATCTCTTTAGAATATAGATTTTCAAAGAATTCCGTGGTGATCCTTTGGTTTTCATTGGTATCTGTTGAAATGTTCTCTTCTTATGCCCAATTTTATTGATTTGGGCCTTCTTTTTTCTTTATTATGATTAGTTTGACTATAAATTTGTCTCTCTTGTTTATTTTTTTCAAAGAATCAACTGTTTATTTCATTGTTTCCTTATATTGTCCCTTTATTCTCTATGTAATTAATTTCTGTCCTGATCCTTATTGTTTCTGTCTGTCTACTGCTTGTATATTTATATGGTTTTTGTTCTTCAAAGATCTTAAGATGCATCCTTTATTAAGTTGAAAGAGATCAGGGAGGGAAGAAAGGGAAGAGTAGGGGAAAATGTGGTAATTATATCATAATAGCAAAAATAAAATAGCAAAATTAATGTAAAGTATGCTATAAAGTTAAAATATATTAGGATAAATATAAAAACAGAACTTAATGAAATAAAGATACAAAAAGATGGCTCATGAGTTAAAAGCACTGTGCTCTTCCAGAGGACCCAGATTCAATTCCCAGCACTCACATGGCAGCTCACAATAATCTGTAACTCCAATTCCAGGAGATCTGATACCCTCTTCTGACCTCAATGGTTACCAGGAATGCAAGTGATACACAGACATACATGCAGAAAAAACTAGACACATAAGTAAAATAAAATTCACTTAAGAAAGAGAGAAACATGAGGACATGAGGGGCAATAGAAAGACAAGGTATTGGGTTGGCTTCTTTCTAGGTGTTCTAATATTAGAGTCTGCCAAGTGGAGGGTAACATTTCAATTTCAGATTATCTGTTATTCCACTTAGGCTATTACTGGACCTACACTAGTCAAGGGTCAGATGTTCCTAAGAGCTGTCTTCCCTTTAGAACCTTTTCTTATTAATGTATAAGGAGCCCACTATTGGCCACACCTACCATAACTATCATTTTAAAGTAACAGCCTTTATATTTTTTGCACATCCTTCCTGATGTATATCTTTTTAAGAATTTTTCATCTGTCCACAAATATATGAATATCCTTTATAAATGTTACTTTAGTCCCATATTTTATCATAAGACTAATGTCACTGTTTACTTCAATCTGTTTTTTATTTTTTGGTTCTTTTCCATATATATTGTTTGTTTGCTTGCTTGCTTGTTTGTTTGTTTGTTTGTTTGAAGACAGGATTTCTCTGTGTAGCTTTGGCTGTATTAGACTCACTTTGTAGACCAGGGTGACCTCAAACTCACAGAGATCTCTCTGCCTCTGCCTTCCTGAGTGCTGGGATTACAGGCATATACCACTGCACCTGGCTTAAGATAAATTCTTAAGATACAATACTAGAAAGGAAACTTCTGGGTCAATGAATATGAAAATGTTTAAATTTGGCTTTCTTTTTGAAGAATATAATATTTGAGTTCTCAAAGGGTTAGTGACATATCTTCCGAACACATCTTCTGACTGTATAGCAATTCATATTTAGATAATTGCTGTAACCATTACTAGAAGTTGACTATCTGTGATCTAGGCACCAGGATGCATCTCTTTCTGTCTGCTATGCCTTGGAATGGAAATCAGAAGCTCTGGCTGAGCCCATTTACAACATGTGGCATTAGCACTGTGCCATCCTATTTATGACTGCTTGCTTACCCATTGCTTCTACTACTTAAATTCCTTTCTTTTCTTTCAGATGGAATGGGGCGAGTCCTTGCTCAAGATGTATATGCAAAAGACAACCTACCCCCATTCCCAGCATCAGTAAAAGATGGCTATGCTGTTCGAGGTAAATATGTTGATTTTCTTAAGTGTTTTCATAAGACTCATACTGTATTTTTCTAGGTTTTTTTTCTTTTTTACTGTTCACTCTCCTGATTACTGTTATATCCATTCCCAATTAGTTGTCAAAATTACTTTACTCCCTGATAAGTTTACTACTCTGTAGCTATGTATTTTTGACACAATCTTGATTAATACTCTGCAGGAAAAGTATCATATAGTTCTATGAAAATTCTTTATTAAAAATATATACATAGAGGTCAAATTTAAAGCACCATTAATTGTCTAGGGATGTGGCTGTGAGAAACTATCTAACATGTACAAGGCCCTGGGTTCTCTGGCAGCATGAAGTCAAAAGAAACTGCTAAATAGCTTATACTTTTAGCCCTTTCACATACCAAAAGCAGTCAGTCTTGGTCTGAAATCTTCCAAATGTTTTCTAGTTGAAAACATCTGTAGGTCTCAGGAAAAATGAACAAATTAAATGTGGAAGTCTGTTCTCTTTGTTTAAATGTAAACATTAGTAAAGGATTTGATGAAATGCATGCATGAGACCTCTAATTCTCTCCAGAAGAAGCCGTCTTCCTGTGCTCTGGAATCCCAGATGGTACCATCAGCTCGCATCTTCAGATTTGCCTGTATAAAGCTTGAAAGCAAAAACTAAATAGCAGTTACCTGCCTAAAATCTGACCTAATAACCCAGGATAAAAAAAAATAAAATAAAATAAAATAAATTGTTTAAAAACTCTTATTGATCTTTTTTTTTTTGTTTTTCTGTGTACAATATGCTATTTTTAAATAGGTATATACTGTGATAGGATTCCATTGAGCTAATTAGCGTATTATCTCACATAATTATTTCTTGTGATGAGATTACTCAAAATCTATTAGCAATTTTCAAAAATAATACATTACTTTTGTATTATTGGCTATTAAATCAGATAAAATTAATCTAAAAATATTTCCCAGCTTTCAGGGTTATTTAAAAATATAGTTCTTATTTTTTATTTAAATTTTTCATAAAATATATTTTGATCATGTTTTCCCTTCCTCCAACTCCTCCAACGTCCCACCCACCTAATTTTGTGTTCTTTTTATCTCTTTTTTCAAAAAGAAAAAAAAAAGGCCACAAAAATCAAAACAAACAAAAGAACAGTAAGGCACAAAATGCCAAAATAAACCAACTGAAACAAAGGACACACACACACAAAGAGAGGTTCTTGTTTATTGGCCGACTACTCCAGGCAGAAGGCTTTCCTGTAGTGTGGTTGAAAACCCAGTGACACTCCATTGGAGAAAACTGATACTCCCTTTGTCACTGGATGTCAGTTGTGAACGTCCTCTGGGTGCAGACTGGGACTCTCTGTTTTCCTCCCCCTTGTGCTGGGACCCCATCTGGCTTGAATTTGTGTAGGTTTTGAGCATTTACATGTGCATCAGTCCATTTGTAACTGGAAGAGACTATTTCCCTGGAGTCTTCCATCACTTCTGGCTCTTACACTCTTTCTGCCATGTTTCCTGTATAGCTCTCTGAACAATGAGGGAAGAGCTTTGATGAAGACATCCAATTTTTGTCTTCATTTCATATAAGTCTTTTGCCTTAACTGGCAATTTTTTTTCGATTCAAGGGCTATAAATCAGTTTTCTAGAAACTCAAAATTTTTTAAATTATCACTTTAAAAATACTTCTAATACTCATCACACTGTTATTTAGATAGCTAATTTTTTAATAATTTTTTTTTATTTTTTATATGAATTACAGTTTATTTACTTTGTATCCCAGGTGTAGTCCCCTCCCTACTCCCTACCTCACCTCTCTTATCTCCTCCCATGCCCCTCTCCAAGAAGGGAGGTCCTCCTCCCCTTCCATCTGACCCTAGCTTGTTAGGTCTTGTAAGAACTGGCTGCATTGTCCTCCTCTGTGGCCTGGCAAAGCTGTTCCCCCAGCCGGGGGAGGCAGTCAAAGAGCTAGCCACTGAGTTCATGTCAGAGACAGTCCCTGTTCCCCTTACTAAGGAAACCCACTAGGATACTGGGCTACATCTGAGCAGGGGTTCTAGATTATCTCCATGCATGGTCCTTGGTTGGAGTATCAGTCTCAGAAAAGACCCCTGTGCCCACATATTTTGGTTCTATTGCTCTCCTTGTGGAGCTCCTGTACTCTCCAGGTCTTATTATCTCCCTCTCTTTCCTAAAATTCCTTGGACTCTGCCCAAAGTTTGTTTATGAGTCTCAGTATCTGCTTTGATAAAATGCTAGGGAGAGTCTTTCAGAGGCCCTCTGTGGTAGGCTTCTGTCCTGTTTCCTGTTTTCTCCTTCTTCCAATGTCCATCCCATTTGCCTTTCTAAGTGAGGATTGATCATCTTACCCAGGGTCCTCCTTCTAATTCATCTTCTTTAGGAGTACAGATTTTAGTAGATTTATTCTATATCATATGTCTAGTATCCACTTATGAGTGAGTATATACCTTGTGTGTCTTTCTGCTTCTGGGATACCTCGCTCAGGATGATCTTTTCTAGTTCCCACCATTTACGGCAGATTTTATGATTTCCTTGTTTTTAATTGCTCAGTAGTATTCCATTATGCAAATGTATCACAATTTCTGTATCCATTCCTCAGTTGAGGGACATCTGGGTTGTTTCCAGGTTCTGGCTATTACAAGTAAAGCTGCTACGAACACGGTTGAACAAATATCCTTGTTGTGTACTTTGGATATATGCCTAGGAGTGGTATAGCTGGATCTTGAGGAAGGGCTATTCCTAATTGTCTGAGAAAGCACTAGATTGATTTCCAAAGTGGTTGTACAAGTTTGTATTCCCACCAGCAATGGAGGAGGGTTCCTCTTTCTCCATATCCTCTCCAGCATGTATTGTCACTTGAATTTTTGATCTTAGCCATTCTGATGGGTGTAAGGTGAAATCTCAGGGTCATTTTGATTTGCATCTCCCTGATGACTAAGGATGTTGAACATTTCTTTAAGTGTTTCTCTGCCATTCTATATTCCTCTACAGAGAATTCTCTGTTTAGCTCAGTACCTCATTTTTTAAATTGGATTACTTGATTTGTTGCTGTTTAACTTCTTGAATTCTTTATGTATTCTTGATATTAGCCCTCTGTCAGATATAGGGTTGGTGAACATACTTTCCCAGTCTGTAGGCTGTTGTTTTGTTCTAACAACAGTGTCCTTTGCTTTACAGAAGCTTTTCATATTCATGAGGTCCCATTTATTTATTGTTGCTCTTAGAGCCTGAATGGTGTTCTGTTCAGGAAGTTGTCCCCTATACCAGTGAGTAGTAGGCTCTTTGCCACTTTTTCTTCTAACCGATTTAGTGTGTCTGGTTTTATGTTGAGGTCTTTGATCCACTTGGACTTTAATTTTCTGCAGGGTGATGAATAAGGATCTGTTTGCATTTTTCTACATGTAGACATCCAGTTAGACCAACACCATTTTTTCAAGATACCGGTTTATTTTTCCCTTGTATGGTTTCGGCTTCTTTGTCAAAATCAAGAATCCATAGGTGTGTGGGTTTATGTCTGGATCTTCAGTTTGATTCCATTGATACACCATTCTGTTTTTATGCCAGTACCATGCACTTTTTATTACTGTTGCTCTGTAGTACAGCTTGAGATCAGGGATGGAAATACCTCCAGATTATCAGTTGTTTTACAGGATCGTTTTGGCAATTCTGGGTTTTTTGTTTTTCCATATGAAGTTGAGAATTTTTCTTTCAAGTTCTGTAAAGAATTCTGTTGGTATTTTGATGGGGATTGCATTGAATCTGTAGATTGTTTTTGGCAGGATGGCTATTTTCACTATGTTAATCCTACTGATCCAGGAATATGGGAGATCTTTCCATCTTCTGATATCTTCAATTTCTTTCTTCAGAGACTTGAAGTTTTTTTTCAAACAGGCCTTTCACTTGCTTGGTTAGAGTCACACCAAAGTACTTTATGTTATTAGTGGCTATTGTGAAGGTTGTTGTTTCCCTAATTTCTTTCTCAGCCTTTTTGTCTTTGGTGTACAGGAGGGCTTCTGATTTTCTTGAGTTAATTTTGTATCTAGCCACTTTGATGAAGGTGTTTATCAGCTAAAGTTGTTCTCTGGATGAATTTTGGGGGTTGCTCATATCATCTGCTAATAGTGATACTTTGACTTCTTCCTTTCCGATTTGTATCCCCTTGATCTCCTTTAGCTGTCTTAATGCTCTAGCTAGGACTTCAAGTACTATGTTGAAGAGATATGGAGAGAGTGGGCAGCCTTGTCTTGTCCCTGATTTCAGTGGGATTGATTTAAGTTTCTCTCCATTAAGTTTGATATTGGCTATAGGCTTGCTGTATATTGCCTTTACTATGTTTAGGTATATGCCTTGTATCCCTGATCTCTCCAAGACTTTAAACATGAATGGGTGTTGGATTTTGTCAAATGCTTTTTGGACATCTAAGGAGATGATCATATGGTTTTTCTCCTTCAGTTTGTTTATATGATGGATCACATTGATGATTTCTGTATATTGAACCACCCCTGCATGCCTGGGATGAAGCCTATTTGGTCACAGTAGATGTTATCTTTTATGTGTTCTTGGATTTGCTTTGCAAGTATTTTATTGAGTATTTTTCCCTCAATGTTTGTAAGAGAAATAGGTCTGAAGTTCCCTTTTGCGGTTGGGTCTTGTGTGGTTTAGGCATCAAGATGACTTACTTTATAGAATGAGATTGGTAATGTTCCTTCTGTTTCTATTTTGTGGAATAATTTGAAGAGAATTGGAGTTAGCACTCCTTTGATGGTCTAGTAGAATTCTGCGCTGAAACCTTCTGGCCCTGGGCTTTTTTTTGGAAGGGAGACTTTTGATGACTACTTCTATTTCTTTGGGGGATATAAGACTATTCATATATAAGACTATTGGTAAATAGATATAAGTCTATTGGTAAATGGAATCTATCAAGAAAATTGTCCATTTCCTTTAGATTTTCAAATTTTGTGGTATATAGGCTTTGTAGTGAGACCT